GCTTTGAACCCTTGATTCGGACTCATTTGGGCTCGGATTGGGTTGATCTTGGTGTCGTTGGGTTCGTATTTCCTAGACGCTCAGTTTGACTGTAAGCTCGCTGAAATCGGAGTTCATATGCTCCCGAAATTAATTTTTGAAGTTTCCAACTAGTTTTTGCCTCGAGATTCGTGCCCGATCAAGATGATTTTGTGATGACGTATCAAAATTTATTATTAATATAACATAAAATTTATCATATAGTTATTGCATCATATTATACAAAATGAAAAAAATAATAATAATGCTAAATATAAATTAAGGCTAGTTATCCTAATTTTTAAATTAAGCTAAGGTTTCATTTAGAATAGTTTTTTTGTTACTTTCTAAAATAATTTTATAGTACAAAAATTTTTATACTAAAAAAATAATTTTAGAAAGCAATAAAAAAAAGTTAAAAAATTCATGAAAAATTAAAGATCAAATTTTTAAGTGTTTAATGCATAATCCCTGAACCTAATTACCCTTGTTATTATATAACACATCATGAACTAGTAAACCGACATCATCATGCATCTGCATGATTTCATAACAGTAAAATATTGATCATAACATGGGACCATCAGACCATGGCAGCCATCGCCATATCAGCCTAGTCATCGCCCATGTGATACTCCATTAAAATAAACTACCCCACGACAAACATCTGGTCTGCATCCATAACATCACCATGGGTACACTGATAGCGATTTGATTCTCACTGCTCTCCTTCCAAAATCATATAAAAAAATTCATAGAATACTGTAATAGTTTCCTGTTTAATTTCCTGTTCATGACTTTTTAAACAGAAGCTTATTTATAGCTTTGATGACCGGATAATAAGAAAGAGAAGAAACACAGCTCTGCAATTATTTGTTGTTATCATTTTCCTTTTTGTTTCACATCTTTGAGTAGAATAGAATACATTGAAACAAATGGTACAAAGATGCCGTGTAAGAGGATGGAAAACAACGGTGAGTGATGAGTTCTTGATAAGATGGACGACTGTGATGTTATGGGTCCTCTGAAGTTGCTGTCTTCTCATGTCTGTACTCCCTATGCAGCTATCTTGTCGTATATTGTAGCAGGTAGTAGTAGCTTGGTTGATAAAATAACAGTAATAGTCACACTAATATTTCACCCTCCTTTCTTCTTTCTTACGTTAAAAATAATAATAATAAAAAAAGTTACAGAAAGCTAATAAATAATAAGAGATGTCATACTGTCTTTTTCATCCTACGTTTCAATTCAGATCATTTACTTCGCTTTTCTTCCTTCCTGCACATAGTAGTAAGATGAAAGAAAGCATCACCAACATAGTATTTGAATAAACTGAGGGATTATATTTCTCAATATTTCTTACATAATACTATCTGATTAATTGTTATTTAAAAATACAATTTTATAATAATAAAGAATATTACCGTTGATCATCTAAATGACATTAAAATATTAAATAAAATAAAATTTAATGTATATATAGCATGAGCTGAATTTCAAAAAAAAAAATTTCCCTTTTTGTTGTGGAAATTATTAGAAAATCATTCACCATTAAATTAGGGCAAAATAATTAAGTCAAGTAGAATTGCATGGGCAACGACTATTTATTAGTATGTATTTATTGATATAAAATAGTTAAAAATATTCTTCATTAACGCAGAAGGCCATGACTCTACTAAAATAGAGTATGTTTGCTTACGGGCGTTATAGTTTTCCATTTCCTTCACATTCCAACAGCTCCATGACCGGAAGAGAATCTGAAAGCATGTAGAGTTGAGTTATTGAAGCCTTAAAATGCAGAAAAACTGGTAACTTTCGAAATAGGCAGATCACCTGGCTGGCATTTGAAAGAAGCAGGAGCTGAGGGGAGAGGACGGCGGCAGGAGCGATGTTCCGATAAGATGGTTGCTTCCTCCGCCGCCCGATGTTGCAGAAAAAGAGAGATCTGTGGAGAAAGATGAGGCCTTGGTAGGCGAGGCGAAGGGACTATCAGGCAAGTTGTGGTCTTTGCTGATGAAGAGATTGTAAGAAAGAAGAAAAATTTTAGCTTTTACCATTCAATCAAAATTTACAAAGCATTTATTGGTGATTGGTAGCAATTTACCAAACTGGGAAATCCATATTATCTTTCGGGCTTGGCTCTTCTGCAGATTCAACTTTATTACCAACATTATTATTAACTGGCTGCTGCCGCTGCTGCTGCATCTCTGAGCTACATCCAGTGCTGCTGCTCCTGCCTATTAAAGCAAAAAAATCACATCCCCACTTAAGTTATTCACGAATCTCTAGTTCTAGAGGATAAAGAAACATTTGGTAACTTATAAATAGAAAGCAATTTAATTGAAAAAAAATGATTTCTATTAAGTTTATTCTGTATATGTTATACTAAGATCATTATATTTTAATGAGTTGAGTTTGAAATTTACTTGGGACTTAACTAAAATTTCAGACATCATTTTGAACGCTTAAAGTTTACCTCTAAAACTTAGGCTCATGGTTAAATATTTTTCGCTTATTCAAATTTCAAACCATATCCAACCAAATCTCATAGATTTTACAAATTTTACAGGTTTCTCAAAACTATTTTTTTCCAACTTCAAGCATCCAAAGTAGCTCAAATAACAATTTGTTCTCCATCTAATCATGTGTAAATCGTTACCATCATCTGGAGATACAACTGGGCTGCTAATTCCATTGCAAGAAGAAGCCATCTCTGCTAAAGCGGCAGTGCTCGAAGCAATCGGTGCATTGGCCGTAGTAGCAGAAACTGCAGTGGAGAAGCTACGAGTCTTCAAGTCCAGCAGCTGAAACCGTCTGCCTTGGAGCTCGATCGCTTGCTGCAAGAGCTCAGCCTGCTGCTGCTCCTCTAGCCGTCGTCTCAGCAACGAAGCATCCTGCGCTGCAACACTACCATTGCCAATGTTGTAGAACATTCTTCCCCCTGAATTAAACACATGAAATCAAAGCTTTCACGAATGCAACGAAAGCAATGACACAAATTTAGCTGAAAGGAGAAAGCTTTTTAACTTCTAACCAATGTCTAATGGGGAATCAAGGCCGGTTGAAGTCCAAAAACTGGAGAAATCCAATCGATCTGCTTGCTGCTGCTTCCTGTGAGAAACACATAAGCCAAAAAAAAAATCTCATTTTGATATCTAGATCGAACACAACGATGAATTGAGAAAGATGGAAGAAAGAATGCCATACTTGTCGGGAACTTTGCCCTTCTCTTTGTAAGGCTTGACGAGAACTCGGGCGTCGCAGACGAAATGGGGGTTGCCTTTAGCTAGAATCAGCTTCACAGTCTCTGGGTGGACAAAGGTAACGAATCCAAACATTCTCTTCTGCTGATATGGAATCCTCACATCCTGCACTGGCCCATACATGCTTCCAGTTCAAAGATGAAGACTCCAGAGTTAGGATTCAAACTACCGGGGAGATAAAACGAAGAAAATTTTCTTATAGGCATTTCATTGAACAACGTACCTAAAGTAGTTCGAAACATCCTCTTCTCGGAAAGTGCTGTCCGCTGGGAAAGTAAGATAGATCTGTCTCGACCCCGGATTCGATATTCCGGCGAAGTCGGGTCTTGACCGCCCCATAAACTTATGTACCTCATCACCACCGGTAAGCATCAGGGCCGCTGGCGCTGCTCTGTAACAGAAAAATTTTCTATTATAAAAAGATGAAATTTTGGAAGAATTTGAACTCCTCCATTCCCAACCTTTGTCCATCATTCTGATGCTGGAAAAGAAAGTTGGCATATTTAGTAGAAGCCGAAGATGGGGAAGCAGGAAAACTTGCTGTCGGAGAGTAAGGGAACGGGGCAGCAGAAGCCATGAGCTTCGAGCTCTTGGACCTCAGAAGCAACTCTTGCTCGACGGCAGCGTCGTCATGAAGAAAACGGCATGCGTTCCCGTTCTTGCAAAAGCCTCTTGCGAAATAAAGGCAGGGTCTCCACCCAAATCCGCCAGAAAGGTCAGAGCCCGGACTAAAGTCACCAATGGAACCGCAGCTCCGGCGATGGCTCGTACCGTTTAATCCCCATCCTATTGAATTTGAATGCAGCAAACCTTCCCCACTGGCGCCAGGGCTACGGCAATCTCCCGGGATGTCAGGGTAGAAAACCTCACCACTCTTCGCTCTCATCTGTGCGTTACCCCCTTCACCGAGAAAGGAAAGCTGGTCTTGCAACTGCAGCTCATCGATGAGCTCCTCCGGTGGAGACACAGGGAGGAAACGAGCAGAGTTTTGACGGGAAAAAACGCCGGCTGCGCCGCCGCCGCCAGAAGGTGTGGCAGGGGAGGAAGAAGGAAGGAGTCCGAGGTCTTTGCGAACTTTGAAAACTACGGAATGAAGCAAAGTTTCAGAGCCAAATGCAAGGCGTATCATATCTTGCTCGCCGTGATCTTGAATGAGGAGTAGGCCCATGATCTTGGCCGCGTTCTCAGGATCGAGGCTTTGAATTCGCGAGAAGACGATCCTAGTCGCTTCATAAGCGTCCATAGCGTAGCCTCCGGCGAAGTGGAGGAGGAAGAGATGATAAAGGAGAGATTTCTAACCCTGTTTCGCCCTTTGTTTCTGCTTACTTCCCTTTTACCTCCTTTTTATCTTCCTTTCCTCACTTTGTAAAGCAATGAGAAAGAAGAAAGAAAAAAACGAGCGAGCTCAAAAAAAAAGGGAAGGAAAAACCGAAATAAAGAACCCTAGCGTTAGGAGGGAGGAAAGTTGGATGAAAAGCGGAAGCAGAGCATAAAGAGAAAAATCGCAGCTTCAGTGGTGGCTTTGTTCACTTGCGGGTTATTAAGCTTGAAAATCTCAACCACGGCCATCTCCTTCCGCCACCATCTCTTCTTCTTCCCGAAGACTACGTAGAAGAGCAGCAACCTTTACCTCTCTCTCCCTCTCGAGAGAAGCTCTCTTCTTCTCTGAATGAACAGCCTGCATTTTTGACCTTGGGTCAAAGGGCTCTATATCTCTCCAGCTTCCGCTGCAAAATTCTCTTTTCTCGGGCCATGGCCCATAATTTCTCTCTCTTGTTCCTTCTCTCTCTATCTGTGCTGTCGCCATTGCTGTTATGCACAGTAATTACTATTCATTCCTTGGCGGGCTTCCCTCTCAACGACATGGCAATATTATTATTTATGTGTCAAGTCATGATCAACTCCAAATTTATGTAACACACCCCCATAGTTGGTTGCACGGAGACGGCCAAAAGTGACAGATAAAGGCCCAATCAATGCTTCCATTAGCAAAACAAACCCTAACTATTTACCCAAAAAAAAAAAAAAAACCCTGGACAGGTACTTTTCCCATCTCTTCCCTGTTCCCCCCCCCCCCCCAAAAAAAAAAAAAAAAAAAAACCCCGGGAAGGGGGTTTTCCCCTCCCTTCCCTGTCCCCCCCCCCCCCAAAAAAAAAAAAAAATTAAGGGCAAAATCCAATTTTATTAAAAAAAAAAATACAACATAAGGTATCAAAAGTTATAGAAGAGATAAGAGAAAAACACAAACATATTATAACTTAAAAAGTACAAAGATCACCCATGGTCAAGGATAGTGTTGTTCTATAGGAGTTCGAGACGTTTCTTGATTGCCAATAAGGCCGTCAAAAATAAAGAAGACACAAATGCAAAAGACTTTCATCATTGTCATACAAATAAGAATTCCCCCAAAATTGAAGAGCATCCAAAGTTATTCCAACTAGAAAGATCTCAAGTATCCAGAAGACTAATAACAATCATGATAACAAGAAAAACCCCTCAGCATATAGAAAGTAGAATTGACACCTCATAAGAGAATCATGTATCATCAAAGAGCTAGAACATAGTAAATGTTTAAATGAGATATGTGATGTCATTGAATTTCTTCCATTTGTCTGCAATGACACTTCTGATTTGATGACAGATGGTACATGAACTATAATTAGAGTTCTCAAAAAATCTTACCTTTCTTTCATGCCACATAAAATAAATATAACAACATGTGATTGAGAGACAAAGTTTTCTTTCATAAGTGGTAGAGCTAGGCATGTCATAAACATACTTAAAGAGTTGAGTCAAGTTTGACCTCATTAAAAAACCAATGACCCATGGCATGAGTTGAGATATTTTGTTCAATGATTCAAAGAGAAGATGTGTCATACTTTCATCAAACATTTTGCAAAGAATAAATAGAACTTGCACAATGATACCTTGTCTAAGTAAAGTTAATGCAGTGTTTAGACCACCAACCAAAGCTATCCACGACCATTAATAGCAAGAGTAACAACAACAACAATAACAAGAGTAACATAAAACTTAATTTTTGTGCCATATAAAGTAATGCCATGATATAGTGGGGAATCTTCATAAAAATCTTATAAGAAATCATGAAAGAAGGGAATCAGAATCTTTCCAAATCAAGTCATTGTCATATGCTAGCAAAGGATAGTTTTGTATAATATTGTTTCTAATAACAAGAAGAATGGTAATGGGCAGGTACTATGAGCCATTGGTTATGATGCTTGAGGTAGGATAGGAGTAGGACATGGAAAGCAAGAGGATGGATGCACAATAACTTTCAAAAAGAGATTTATCATTACACCAAGGGTCCCAAAGAAAGAAGAAATTGGAGTTAGCAGTGATGCAAAAGTTAAAGCATTTCTTAGATTTCTCCGCAATCTTACATATATTTTTCTAAAGAAGGGAGCAACATTGGGGATTCAACTCCAACATGAAATGTATTTTTTTTTTACACTAGTCAAGGAGAAGGTTGTGTGTAGTGAGGAGGCACCAAATCAGAGATTAGCCAAGTGCATGAATTAATCCTCGAATGTCAGATATGTCTGGCCACCTTTGTGATTTGGAGGCATGTTTTATCTAGGAGATAAGGTGGAGTTTATGAGTACGTATTAATTCTACCATGATAAAGAAATTTAGCATATATTTTATTAATAAAGCTGCAACATTGTTTAGGGATAGTAAATCCTCTTATCCAATACAAAATGTAGTTCCAAATTGTATATCTTAGAAATTAAAATATTTCAGCAAAGAGCATCAATTTGTCTTTCAAACCAACAAGCATAGTGGAGATCTTATGAGTTGGAAATCAATGACATAGAGTCTCCTATAATATATTCGTATGTCTAGTTATTTAAGGGAAAAGGTATATATCGATAGGTTGAGTATGGAACAAATGTCAGAGGCATTAGCGGTATTAGAAGAAAAATAAAAGGTGGCTTTTGCTGTGATTGATCTGACAGCTCGAGTGGAGGTGAAAATCCCTTAAGATGTTATTTAGGACAATAGGATTCTGAGTGGTAGCATAGCTAAATACTAAGTGATCATCAACAAAAATTAAATGAGAGAAGTTTTGACACATTTTGGGAATTCTCATGTATTTTTTGTTAAGGGTGGATCTATCAAAGATAGAAAATAAACTATCCATAAAAATACCAAAGAGAGAGGGGGAGAGGGGACATCCTTACTTGATACTAGTCATGGTGCCAAAGAAACCCTCCAAATAACTAATAAAACTGATCGAGTAGTGAAAATTCTTAACACATGCTCTAATCCTGTTAATAAAATAGAGCGACAAATATTTCTATTCCAAACTTTGTAGAATAAAACTTCTAAATATAATATTAAAGGCTTTATAGATGTCTAAAATTTCCTCAAATGAGACCATGTGTATACATGTTTAAGCTTGAATTCCACCAAAATTTCAGAGGTAAGTGAAATATAATTAATAGAAATCTTTTTGTTAATGAACCTAAGTTGAGAGGGGTTAATAATGTAAGGCATGAGAAGCTTAAGCCTGCTAGCCAAAATCTTCAAAAAAAAAAAAAATTAAAAGAGTACTATATAGGGATATAGATATGAATTTAGATATGTCAAATGCATGAGGACCTTCAGGGATCAAAGTAATGATTTTGGATTTAATCTTCTTAGGGAAATGCATAATGCTGAAAAAATAATGATGAACAACTTTATACAAAATGACTAGTGATCAACCAATTATGCTTATAAAATTCAAAAATGAAGTCATTAGAGCAAGGGGATGACTCTATGGGAGCAGAAAAAATGTTGACTTTAATATCTTCATATGTAATAGGGGCTATTAGGGAAAGTGTTATAAAATTTTGAACTATTTTACATGTGGGTATGGAGTTTAGACTTAGATAGGGAGATTGTTGTGTATTAAAAAGTGTTTGAAAATAGAGGATGATAGCTTGGGAAATATCAGTGGGGGGAATTAAATAATATGCCTGAAGGGGTGGAAACCTTCTTAATAAAGTTAGAGTTTCGCCTTGAGTGGATTTAGTATGATGGTATTCACGATTATAATCCCCTTTAAAAAGCTATTTGGCTTTACTTCTCTAAATGATCCAAGAGGTTTAAGCCAAGTGGGCTTGGGAAAGTTCATCCCTAGGAGCCTTAGCAATAAATTTGAGAACTATGTCTATTGGATTAGTGTCAAGCTAATGGAGGAAAAGTAAATGCTCTTGTTGAACGTCTTTACTAATTTGTGAGAGGTTGCTAGGAGAGGCCCAATTCTAGGTTTTAATAGCACCCCTTAAGGTCTTGAACTTGGAGTAAAGGTTTGAAATGGGATTTCTAGAGTTGGTTTGGGAGAAGTCATAGAGGAGGACCTTCTAGAATTGAGGTATTTTTTTTAATAGTTTTTAAATTGGAAGCTATGGTTCCCATTATGATGCAGTTGAGTAAAATAGGGTAAAAGGGAAATGATTAGAACACTTTGGACATTCAACTTTATAGTAGGATATTGGGAATAATTGTAGCCAAGATTCATAAATTAGCATTCTATGAAGTTTTATGAATGGGATTATTGGGCCTTAGGTTGAACTAAGTGTAATTAAGACCCATATAAGCGAGGTCTTTAGTACTAGTGTCAAAGGTAAATGTATTCACTTCCCAAAGTTTACTATTAGTGATAGGATTCCTCTTAGCTTTCTCATGTGAGAATCTATAATGATTAAAGTCACCCATTATGATCCAAGGGAGGAAGAGCTCTCGTTGATTTGTTTTAATTGTTATTAAAGAGCAATACGATCTTCCATGGATTAGAGGCATAGACAGCCGTCAACATAAAAGGGGTGGAGGGCTATAAGAAATTTTCCCATGAATGGATTGATTGGTGATATATAGAGGTAGGGGTGAAGAATAGAATAGAGGCATTCCACTTTAGCCAAATCCTACCATGGTTAGTGAAAGAGAAATTATCATAACAGTCCTCATTTTAAAATAATTTATAGGTAGAAGAAAAATCAAGAGACGGATGCAACATGTGAGACCCCAAAATTAAAATTTAGAAGAATTATTTATTTTAATCTTTTTAATTATTCAACCAGAATTTCTATAAATTTGTCCATATAATTGATAACTAGCAAAAGCAAATAAAATCACATACTCAAAAATATTTTACTATTAATTCACCATATTATTATTTACACTATCCAGGAGATTAATATAATTACTAAGCTATCACAAGTTTCTAACTACAAAAAAAAGTAAATGCAGGATAGAATCTGAAGAACTTGAAGATCTCTATCAATCTCACTGCTCATGATCATGAGCCCTTCTTTGACTAAAATCATTAAAATCCACATAATGAGTTAAAAAGCCCACGAGTAAACAAAAACTCATTAAAACTATTAATACAAAACTTAAGAATCAATATGCATGATTATTTCAATCAATAAATTTCAATATCCAATGCTTAAGCTCAATTATCACTAAAATAATTCAATATAATCAATAATGAAAAGAAGGAATTTATATGTTAATACATAATATATCAGTAATAAGTAAATCGATAAAATAGTAAATCTACAGTAAGTCAATAAAGTAGTAAATTTGTACAGTAGAAGTTATGCATATGTACTATAATCATTATAGAATCAGTAAAGGAATCAAAAGCATATAAGTGTCATTATCATCAATCTAATCCTTTTCATCCATCCAATAAATTATATGAAATAAGTACTAGTATCTATTCATAT